CGCTCCCGCGAGTCGCGAGCTCCCGCGCCCCCGCCCCCTCGGCCTCGCCGCACCGGGCTCATCGTCCGCGGCCAAGGTAGGGCGAGCCGAAGCTCCGCAGACCCCGTCAAGTTTGGCCGCACCGCCCGGGGTGCCGTCGCCCGCACCATGTCCGCGGCCGCCTACATGGACTTCGTAGCTGCCCAGTGTCTGGTTTCCATCTCCAACCGCACCGCGGTACAGGAGCATGGGGGCGCTCCGGACACCGAGCGACTGCAACTACCTGAGCGCGAGGTGACCAAGGAGCACGGTGACCCGGGGGACACCTGGAAGGATTATTGCACACTGGTCACCATCGCCAAGAGCTTGTTGGACCTGAACAAGTACCGACCCATCCAGACCCCCTCGGTGTGCAGCGACAGTCTGGAGAGTCCCGATGAGGATATAGGATCCGACAGCGACGTGACCACCGAATCTGGGTCGAGTCCTTCCCACAGCCCGGAGGAGAGACAGGATTCTGGCAACACGCCCAGCCCGCTCTCCCTCCTCCACTCTGGAGTGGCTGCGAAGGGGAAACACGCCTCCGAAAAGAGGCACAAGTGCCCCTACAGTGGCTGTGGGAAAGTCTATGGAAAATCCTCCCATCTTAAAGCCCATTACAGAGTGCATACAGGTTAGCGGCGTCGCCTCTCCCCCGCTCCGGGCTTAGCTAACCTTTGGCCGGTCAGCATTCCTGGGCGCCCAGGACTCCGCACTCGGCCTAGAGGCTGCAAACATTTTAGAGAAGATGCTGCTTAACTCTTGCACGCTCTCCTTACTTGGCCCCAACCTTTAGGAGCCACCCAAAAGCCCCCAAACGGCCGGGCTGAGAGTGTGACTTGCGTGGCTTGGCGGGGAGCGGGCCCGCCCCTCCCATGCCCGCCCCGCCCCGCCCCCGGGACTCCGCACCCCGCCGTTGCGGGGCCGCCCCACCTGGGGAGACGCTGGCGGCGGGCAGTCCGATGGCGCAGCTTTTATTCCATTCCGTGGTGGGGTTGCAGCGGAGGGGTCGCGGCATAGAGGGGAGTCGCACTCTGCGTGAATCCTTTTAGGGATGACTAAGGACTCATTTAGCTGGATGGCGGCTACTTTTCAGGGCTTGCCAAGGTGGTTTTAAATTTGGCCAAGAGTCCCCTGAGAGGTTTAAAATAAAACTGCTCCAGGCTGCAGGGGAGACTGATGAAGGAATGGTTGGTGGATTAATTTCTTGACTAGTTAACCTTCCTAAATGAAGTGATTCAGTGCTGATCTATTCCCATGCGACTTAATGGGTAGCACCTCTAAACCCTAAGAGAGGTGTGGTTCTTGCTGGAGTTCAAGACCCCGGGGATAAATGTGGGGGCGCTTATTGCTAGCTGTAGGCCCAGCAGCACACGCCGACGTGGCTGTAAAGACATCTGCTGTGTGGAATGGGCTTTAGGGACTTAGAAGGACCTTGGTCAACTGGCTCTGGTTATTCCAATTAAACACGCGCAGGCGAGGCTGGCAGGCATTCGCATATGGATGTGCTGTCTGGTCGGTTGGGGAAGGGTCGTTTGGGACTGCTATCACCAGGCAGCAGGCCTTTCCCGTTTGCCCCGAGACAGCGTATTTAAGAAGTTTTGGCATTGTGTGACAAGGCCTAGAGGCTTTTTGGTGTAAAGGTTTGGTGTTTTGGTTTCGAAATGGTACTCTCCTTGGAGTTTTCGGCCTTGCTTGTGTTTTAAAGCAAGGTGTTCACCACCTCTCTCTCTCTCTCTCTCTCTCTCTCTCTCTCTCTCTCTCTCTTTACTTCTTTTGGAAAGCCAGTCTCTTGGAGGTGGTTGCCAGCACCCGTAGAAATCTAAATTTCCTAGTGATAATGAAAAAAAACCAACAACAACAAAAAAAAACAGGTGCTTGGGAGGTCCTCGTCTAGGTGCCTTGTGGAACAGCGCCCTTGAAAGTCTGAATCCGTAAAGCAGTTAGAGAGGCCTGTCCTCCCAGTGAGGGGTGTGACTTTTAGTAGGGCTCTGGGAGGCGAGGAGTGGTCTATTAACTCAGCCTGTTACCACAGCTGTCGGGCGGGCCTGGCCATGTCAGCCATGTTCCCAGGGTTCAGTGGCTCCCGTGGACACCCACTGCCACCTTGAGCAAAGGCATTTTCTCCTTCAGGAGGGCTGCCCGATGGTGTAAGTGGGGAGGCCCGCAGTGCCTCCGTGGCCCCGGAGTAGATCCCCGGCATTCTGGGCCATTTCGGCTGAGTGCTTTTCCCCGGCATTTATAGAAATGGCTGCTCATGTGTGCATGCATGCGCGCTGCTCTTTAATTCTCCATAAGGCACTGGCAGCTCAGCTGTTTCGGGAGAACCTTTCCCACGGAGTGGAAAAGGAAGTGAAATAAATACTCTTCCCGTTTTAAATGCTAGTCATTCTTTTGGTTCTAGGGGTGTGGTGATTGCAGGGGTCTTATTTATGTTTTGGGGGGAAGGTGGGGGGTGAAGGGCTCTCTGTCCTGCTGATGTGGACAAAAACTCCAGCCTCTACAGATGTTGCCCAAAGTGTCCTGACGAGGAGGCACATGCCAAGTTTGGCTTTCAGGCATTTGGATTCTCAGACAGCTTCAGGTTAGATCATGGCTGGGTGGGGCAAGGAGCTTTCTGATTTTCTTTCTGCTGGTTCTTAAATCCTGAAGGTGCCTGAAGACAGCCTTGGATCCGTGAAAATCTTAGAGCTGAAATCCCTGCCACACCCCCATGTTCAGCACAGCTCCACACATTCCCTTGAGAATCCCCCCTGCTTGCTCACTGCCTTAGAGAGCCTTGCACCGCTCTGCTTCAGACGCCAGCAGCTTTAGAAGTTGAATCATTTTTTAAAATGTTTTAGTGAATTCAGTGGCGATCCTTTCGTGGTGTCCCGAGGAAGGACACAGTTGAGGTGGCTGAATGAGGCCAAAGCTCGGGTTTGCCTTTCTATTCCCTGAGACCCTACACGGGTCTAAATAATTCCGGGTTTGCACACTGGAGCGCACGGCTGCAGAATTTGCTTTGCAGATTTGTTTGCTGTGGACGGCACAGAGTTGATAAAAATTTCATTAGTTACCAGCATCGAAAAATCAGGATTCTGGCATGAGGCCAGATTTCTTGTTCTCTGGAAAAATCAGAAGATCTGGCAAATAGTGAGTGGGCCCGGATGCTTGCCTAGCAACAGTTGGTTTGAACTGCTTTATATTGGGTGGATCTCATGTATTTATTTTTATTTTGGGCCTTTGGAGACAGGGTCTTGCTGAATTAGCTAAGCTGGATTTGAGTTTGAGATCTTCCTGGCCACCCCCTCCCCACCCCCCAAATGTTGAAGTTACAGGCGTGTACACCAGACTTACGCTTTTTCCTTGGATACTCAAACTGCCTGGCAGAAGGGACTGGCGAAACATCCATAACAGAAGCCTTCCTCCAATTTTGGAATAGAATATTTGGTCTTCCTCAGGAGCGCCCATACTGGTCAATTCTAGCTCAGGTGGAAACGTTTGCTTCCGAGTACCCCGTGGCTCTTTCAGTTCCCTGTATCTTTGGCGCTACCTGTTTGAGAGTCTAATGTTATTCTGGTGTGATGTGGCTGCATGTGGTAGCGCATGCCCTTAATTCCAGCTCTAGGAGACAGAGGCAGGTAGATCTCTCTAAGTTTGAGGCCACCCTGGTCTACACAGCAAGGTCCAGGCCAGCCAGGGCTACATAGTGTGACCCTGACTCAAACAGACGTGTGAGGTGAAGCCACTTAGGGGCTAGAGGTGCTCAGTGGCCAAGTGCATGTTTAGTGCGTGCCCACGACCCTGGGTTCAATTCTTAGCACCCAAATAAAAGTCTAGGGAGTCTGGGTCTCAGGGCCAGAACCAGCTCTGGCTGTGGCCCCAAGCCCTCGTCTGAGAGGCCTTAGTAACTGAAGTGTTGTCAACTGGTCCTTATCACTTTCTCCTCTTTTTCTGAGTACAGGGAAACCCGCCACTCTGGTCCTTAAGACTTGCTCTTTGCCCTTCTTCCAGGCAACTTCCTACAGCGATATGCGATAGTATTTCAGAAACCGCATCCTTCCCGGATGTATTTACATCGAAACCCAACTGAGTGAAGAGATGACTTGCCCACGGGAGTATTTCTCTTCTGTTTTCCCATTATTTGTCCCCTGAGGAGACTTGAGATGATCTTGTTCTACAAATGCCCACCCTGTACCCTATGGTGGCTTAACACTGAGAGGTTAAATTACAGAGCTACTTAGGGGCTGTGCCCCTCAGAAGGCCACACGTCATTCCAATGCCTAAGATTGTTTCCATCTGTCAAAGAGCCCAGTTCTGCCCACCTACCCCAGTGGGCATATCTAGACCCACTTTCAAGTGCCCCAAGTGGAGAAATAGCAATGAATTGTAGAGAAGCAACCGCAGAGCCGCATGCAGCTTCCCACTGGGGAGATGGTTTCCTGAGTGCATTGGGTTCTTGTGGGGTTGTTAGTGAATTTCAGAGAAGGTTCACTTCCCTCGAGTCTGGGACAGTGTGGTCTTTGGTTGTTTGGCTTAGTTGAAATCTCTCTTTGAGATGGAGAGACCCACCCTGGTGACTCTTGTTCCTAGTCTGGAAGAGAAGGACCAGTTAAATGCAGGAGTCCTCCATCTCTTATTTGCCCTGGCGTTGGCAAAGCAGGGTGGCCTGGGAGGCATCGTCCGAAGCTGGCAAGGATCCCTGCTTCACAGCATGAAATGCAAATGGGGTCCAATTACAAAGCACGTGGGTGTTTCCTTGGTTTGCCTCTCAGCAGAGTGTGTGAGTGTGTGTGCGCACGGAGGAGGGAGGCAGCGGAGGAAATGGGGCCCTCTGGATGGTGGCACCCCATTGCCTCCAGACACAATGCTACAACGGGAGGGAAGTGGACCTTTGGGCCCCGTTCCTGTCGCAGCTGCGGATGCTTATCCCAAGAACCAGTCATTCTGCAGGGGCTGTGGGAAACTCCCAAAGTGAACTTCCCAGGGAGAAACATCATAGGATAGTGATCTTCCCTAATAAGTTCATTGAGAGGAAAAGTGGGCAGATGCTTCCCGGGCGCTTTCAGAAGCCCCTAAAACCACAGGGCTAGCTCTGCTTGGAGCCTGCTTTCAGCTCGGTTTCTGGATGCCTTCCGACCATTAGCATTGTTGGTATTGAAAAACAACACCCGGGCCTGTTGTGCTTCTTAGTCTGGTTTTTATTTTCTTTCTTGCCTTATCTATTCTCAAGGTTGGGGGGTGGGAAGCTTGCAGCTAGAAACCTCCCCCACATCACCCTCCCACCCTTCCCTAGTGTTTCTCCAGCAAGCCCAGCGCCCACGGAGGAGCGTAAATTAATGCCTAGTAATTGGTACAAAGGCACTTTCTGTTTCTATGCAACACACGCTAAAAAGAAGGGGGAGAGAAACGCACTGATGTTAAAATAGGAAAGAGATCCTTCCAGCAGTGGTCTTGGGTAGTCCTGGCTTCCAGTCCGCCCCACTTTTTGTTGGAAGTTAGTCACAGGCCTGGGCCTAACTCAGAACACTGGGAGGCAGTAGTTGTTGGTCTGAAAAGAATAGGCCTTGGAGGTTGGAAGTGACCTTGAAAGGTCATCTCATCCATCATTTTGTCTCGAAAAGAGCATGTGCCCACCCTCTAAGATAGATG